GTACACCAGCAATTCCCTTTCCACAGTCACTGCAGGACATGCAAGTGTGGTGCCCAGGAGGAGCTATAAATAATGCAGCTTTGTGACCCCGGTAGCAAAGAGGGAGATCAGAGACGCTGGGGCTTTGAAAGGGCACCAGCTCCACTTAGGAAATACAGCTTTCTCCTCCTGCTGGTCACCACAAGGGAAATCACTTTGAAAGGTTGAAAAAGGGCAACTCTTTCTAATTCAATAGACTGGTTTCTATCTTGTAATACAAGTGTAACTACTACGAACTGCTTCATTTACCATACACCCACTACCACTGGGCACGGGCATAGAGAGGATTATTAAGGTCTCCAGCCTGTTGCCTCTCTCAGGATCTTCTGCATTTATCTACAAATATATCTGCCTCAACACTATTAGCATTGACTTCTTTAGAGCTACATATCAATTCCTGCTCTTAGGTTTTCCCTTTTCCACCAGCAACAATACTGCTCCCATTACCAGAACATGACTTGGTGCCTGGTCTCAACATTGTCCCAGGACTTGCAGCAGTTTAAAGCTCAGCCACTTGACTGCTGCTTGCAGTACTGCAGCACCAGCACCATCCCCAGAACACAACCAGGACCAGACAAGTACAGCACACAGACATCCAGCCTAGTGCTGATCAATGCTCTGCCAAAAGGATCTTTTTCCCTTTCCTGATATACAGCCTTGTCCAAATCACTTCACCTCCTTCATTCTCATATAAAAAAGCAAGCACGTATTTAGAGGTTTCTCAAGACGCTATTTTAGTTATCACCTCTTCTACCAAACAACATCTTCACACCTGAGGTACGCAGAGCTCTATGAACAGTCACATTTGAAGAAGAGAGGCACAGGATTACACAAATCTCTTTTTCCAGCATCTGAATTTACGGCTGGAAACTAAACTATCAGCTTTGCAATGATTTACTGCTGTACGACAAGACCCATGGAATATAAAGAGAGGAGACAATCCTGCAGGGTGATAAATTGCCACAAACCAAGCTGTCATCACAAAACACAAAATCCATGTGAAAACAACCCTGCCAGTGGGATGCAGACAGCCTTTTGGCAGCTGCTTTTCTACTGGAATGAGGTACAGGTGCTTGTTTCAGAGCAGGCAAGGGGAAGATGCCTGTTCCCGACCTCCACCACCACCACCTGCAGATCTTTTCACCTCCTTCCTTTGGAGACCCCATTGGCTTCCCACAAGCTTTGCTCCACAATGTCCAGAGCACCAGCTCTCAAATCCTGATGATGAGATGATTCTGAAGGGCTATCTTCAGGCTCAAAGGCATCTAGAGTACCCAAACCCTTCGGATAGCCTGATCACGTAGTTTTGGAATTTACCATTGGTGTGGTCCCACTCTGGGCCAGGCACCTATCGGAAGATGTTTACCTTCACCCCAGGGAGCAGGTGGGACAGGAATGACTCTGAGAGGAGCCCATCAGTGATCACTGCAGCTCCCAATCTCCTTTGTCTGCCAGGGTTACATCTCTGTGGGTCCTCACATCCCTCCAAGTTCGAAGTCTTCTGAACTTCAAAGCCACAAGAAATACAGGAACAAATCTGGGGAGTTCAGCCAGTGGCTTTACAAGGATAGCTTGGTTTTAATTATGTGCCTGGGGGATTTCCTGTGGGAGGATGAAGCAACTAGGTCTGGCATCACATAGCAATAGAAGGGTAGGAGTTCAACACGCATGATTTGAAAGGCTGAGCAACATCTCTGTGAATGTATTTATTTAACCTGTAAGTTGAGTAGCTCTGTATTTCTAAGGTAGCTGTTACTGGGTGGAAAATCAGAAAAGTAAATGTATCTCTGCTTTTAGAGGGACTGGGTGGGGCAAAAAAAGTCTCCAGTATAGATCTAAATTCCCCAGAATATTACACATGACTGGGATGTGGGTTTATATTCAGAGCCCTAGCCCACTGTAGAGAGAACATCTGGTTCACCAACAATACCTCCTCCCATATCAAATCTCTCCCTCTGATAATGTGAGATTTTTTTCTAACAGCCCCTTTTCTGAATCTGCTTTTCTGCTTAGACACCACAAAGCCAGGCAACTCAGCACCGCTTTGAAATGGAGGGGACACAAAAAACATAGCAATCCAGAGAGCCTATTCACAGAGAAATCCAAAGAGCTACAAGAAGATAAAACGAGAGGCAAAGAGGAATTCTTATGAAAATGCATGATGTGAAAAACTGACAGGCCAATTAAACATGCCTAAATACAATCAGAGATTATCCCAATGCCACTGACACGTCCTATTGTTCTCCACCCTCGCTTTGTTCCCCTCAGTCTCTGGACGAGCAGCTCACCGGCATCCCTCAATCCCTCCTTCTCATCTCCCTGACCAGCAACAGCCGCACACGTTACAGGCCCATCGTTCCTGGCCTTTTGTCTTTGCACAAATTGCTTTTTTCCCAGTCCTAGGCCAGCTAACAGCATTTCTGTTTTCTGTGCACTGCTTTGGAAGAAGACACACGAACGCCGAGCGCCTGCGGGGAGCGGGAGCTGGCTGATGCTTCTGTAAACACCATACTAATCTGTTTAAGATATTAGACTCCCATATATGTGTTTTTAATAATAAAGGCAACATTTAGATGCTGCCAAGGTACTGGAGACACAGTAGCAGATGCAGTAGAGCCACCTCCACCATATAAACAATGGGAAATGCTCTCTTATCTTTTCATACCACTAGGCCTCCAGGCTGCAAAATAAATGATTGCATTCATTTACATTTTATTGTGGAGATATAACTGGCTGGAATAACTGTCAGCAGAGAACCCGACTGCAGGAATGTACTATTTTTCTCCCCATTTGCCTTAACAGATGCCTTTTTTTCTGGCAATCCATCTCTCTTGCTGTTGTCTAAATGGCAGAAGGGGCATTAACCCACTGCCTATCTTGTGCTTAGGGAAAAAAAGCTGTCGGTTCAGCTTTTTACAAAGCCTCAGGCTTTGTAAGGTAACCAACTTACAGTGTAGCACAGACTGTGAAAGAAAGGTTCTTCACCTAAAGCATATCCAGGCAGTACAACTGAAGCTTTCTTAGATAGTCACACATTCATGTGCCAAAAACCCTACAAGCCATATAGAAGTCAGCCCATGAGAGATGTGTTCGTCTTAGTCAGTCACTTGCGCTTCCCATACAGTCAATATAGAGGAACAGGCTCTCCAGAGAATTCATCCCACAGGTTCAGAGACATCTGTTTTGGGTTGAGAAGCACCAGTTTTTCTCCTTTCTGTGCTAAGCAGCCTGGACATGCAGTTCAGATGGAGAGGTCCACTCTGTATGTCCAGCTGAGGTGGACCTAGGTCACCCAAGTAGTATTGCCCATACAGGTTGGCATTAATTGCAGGTTCAAAAGATCTGTGTCATGCTTTTGATAAAAAGACCAACCAAGTAAATAATAACCAAAGCACTCAACCTCTCAGGTCAGCACCCAAAAGCTTAGCACATGGTTAGATGGATGTGGACTGAATGTAAAACTCAGCCCTGATGGGACAACACTCCCAGGTAGCAGGAAAGCCCAGGGCTGGGTGTTAACTTTCTCAGCTGACAATTGTCCATTCAAAAGAAAGTAAAACACACATGGAGTTAACAATAATAATAACTGTCAATTTAGGGCTAGCATCCTTGTTTTCTGATACTTAAATATTTTCAGTTTTTAATTTCCTTTCTTATTTGTTGATCAATTTCTAACTACAGATGATGGAAAAATAAACATAATTAAAAGTTTAAGAAAAAATATTTGAGTATATTTCACTGGAAAAAAATGGTGGCAAAAACACATCTCAGACTCTTGAACTACCTGAGAAGGTAAGACAGGAGAAAGTCTGGGCAACTGGAGGCAAAATGAATCAGTGAATAGATGAGTAAATGAAAGCAAATCAAATCCTACAAGCAAAGAATCATAGAACAGTTTGGGTTGGAAGGGTCCTTAAAGATCACCTAGTTCCAATGTCCCTGCCATGAGCAGGGACACTTTCCACTAGACCAGGTTGCTCAAAGCGACATCCAACCTGGCCTTGAACACTTCCAGGGAGGAAGCATTATTATTAAAATTACAAGGTAAGAAAAGCAGCTCAACAGAATTAGATGGGTGAAAAAGAAAAAGAGAAAGCCCGTAAAGTGTTCAAAAGCTGCAATAATACTATTGCAAACAAAATGCCAAATGTGACAGTGAAAAGAACAGTGACCTACATTAGACATAAGCATAGCTTCATCTTAAGTGTAGTTTCATAAGCACTTCATATCCCTTGGATGCTGCCACTGCAGAATGAAGGAAGCTGAGTGTGATGGCTAAGTGCATAGCCCTTCATATTTTCCTCTGCTGGGTCATGGCCACTGGCAGAGAGTTCAAGTGTGCTGGGGACACGTCAATGAATGCTGTAAATGCCCTTTTTTTAATGTTCTGAGCTTCTCTCATTTGGCTTTTTTATAGCTAGACTAAAACCAGCAACATTACAGCCATAGCATAGTTTGCTTGGAAGATAAGGATGGATATCACAGACCTAGGTCCAGGACAACTTTGGTCGTATCACCCTCTTGCAAACAAAAGCATCCATCAGAGAAATGGCAACCTAAATTTATCCATTTCCCATTGCTTTTCTGTTGCACAAATATATGTAATAAACATCCAGTTTTAAATATATCAAAATGCAACAACATATATCAAACAAAAACCTCAATGAGCTATACATTCTCCCTGCATTTTCACAAACATCATCACACTGGAAAGAAGATGCTCCCTGCTGTCCCCACTCCACAAATGTGCAAAGTGCCACTCTCATAAGCAAGAGAAGGGTTATAAAGGAGATCCAGAGTCCCAGGTTCCCTGCCCTCACCACTTCTCCCACCAATATTTTTCAGCCCTTGAAAAGCACAACAGCAGTGGCTGGCTGTAGGAAGCTCTCCTGTCACATAAGCAATGGATATCAAACAGGCACGTTATCTCTGGCCAAAAAGGAGCATTCCCATTTCCTTACCACTGGTACAGAGGTGCAGGCGGCACAAACCACTTGGGTCACAGAGTTCTTGGCTCTCTCCTTCCTCCTCCACCCTCAGCTCCTCTCTCCATCTCTTCTTCCTCCTTGATGACTTCTTAAGGATCTTCAAAACCTTATTCACTTTATTCATTTGGTCTCACAGCCACAGAGAGGGGACAGGATCTCCCCGACTCCTGTGTCTCAGCAGCTCCAGCTCCCTGGGAAGGAGGGACAGCTGGAAGCAGGCAGGTCACTGGGAGGCACAAAAGCGCTTGTGTGTGTATGCATGCGTGTGTCTGTGTCAAAATCTTCTTTCCACTCAAAGAGAGAGTTTTGGGTGGTGGCGGGAGGGGGGAAGGAGAGAGAAGGATTTATTTTGCCTCTGTCCATCCACAGCTCTTGCAGACAATGAGAACAGGCATTTCTTCTCCCTGATGAGTTGGGAAAGCTCATAACTCACAGGGGCAGTAGATCCTGTATAGGGTTTTCAATTTCTGTTTTCAACAATACATGCATTTTGGCAGATTTCAAATGCTCCTCGGGCAAAAGAGTCAGCATCAGCTCAGAAAAAGCAGTGACTCAAAGAATTCTGGCTTCATTTCAAAGATTAGAAATAGCTAATGCAGACAGCAAATAATACCTGCATCTATGAGAAATGCTAAATAACTGTGTGGCCTGTAGGAAAGAACCTTGACTTTCCTGTACTTGCATAATTACTCACATTTATCCAGCACCTTTCAGCATCTTTAAATGACCTTCTGATATTGTTAAACAGACTTTAATGGACAAGATGCAGCCTGCAGTGTCCACCCAGGGTCATATCTGCTCTCAGACACCAGCCAAACCACTGAGAAGGATGCAAGAGCCCCATGTGTGAAGCTCTGACATGATCTCCCATCCATGGCAATCTCCAAAGACAAGAGAGCTCAGAGACCCTTCCACTATTGCCATCCTAGCATTGCAAATTGAGGCACGGGCAGGGGTAAGCAGAGTGCTCTCCTTGAAAGAATAATTTTGTTTGGTAAAAGACAGTTTTCAGAGCAAGAGGTTAAGTAGAAAATAACCCTGTGTGCTTCTGAAAGGCTGCCTGGGGGTCAGGCAGATGACAAACACACACCTTTATTGCTGGCTTCTCAACTGTAAACCAGACCATAAGACATGACTTAAGATAGATGCTTATTAACCCACTCATACCTACGGGAACCAATGTCAGAAGCAGATTATCAATTCACTAATAGTCAGGTCAACTCTAGGCCAACCTACAAAGGTATTTGGGTGCCCAGTTCCTATTTGCAGGATGAGTTTCCCTTGGAAAACTCTGGGAGCTGAGGTAGCTCCTAACTCTGGGGCTACATGTGCCACAGGACCCCTTTGCCCTTGGGCCCTGCAGAGAGAGTCAACACCATCCTATCTCCTATGCCAATGCCAAGGAAATATCCATCGTTATTGTCTCCTGGCCATTTCTGAGAGGAAAGGTGATTTTTGGGCAATGACTGATGGAAGGAGTCCTCTCCAGCCAGGGCAGTAGAGTTAGTGAAATGGAGAAGTCCTTCTCAAGAAACCACATGTGGAATGGACATGGCTGTGCCTGGCAGCAGGACCGAGAGTCCGTTAATATGCCTAAAGCTCCATTTAGAGCAATATAATTAAGAACAAGCCCTGCAGTAGATAGCATTAATGGATGTACAAATTAAATTATCATGCACTTCATTTAAGGCATTATAAATAGAGCCATTACTCTCACCACTGAGCAAGATGCAACCCACACCCACCAGCCCCAAGCAGAGCATGGCCCACCAGCGACAGCCATCACCAGCCTTGGTTAACCCTTTCAGGCCTGAACTCTCACACCCAGACATGGCCATGTCAGCACTGTCACAGAGCAGACCCCAACAGCAAGCTTTGGCAGATGCAGTCTTCTCAGCTCATTAAGGCCAGATTTTAATGAGACACGGCCCCAGACAAGCAGCGTTGTGCAAATTGCACCACCCCAGGAAACTGTGCCATTCCCATGCATCCCTCTGAGGTGTAATTATTCTTCTTTTGCCTTTCTGAGGAGCAGGAGGTAATTTCACTGCCTTGTCTCAGCAGTTTACCACGGTCAGAGCTGGCTGGGCTACCCAGGAGCAAAGACAGCTCTTCTGCTGAGCAAGGATCTCCATGCCTTCCCTCCAGGGCAGGACGGATGTGCCTGCTTCCCCTTCCTCCCGTCCATGGGTAGCACCCAAAACATAGCCTGCTCCTGGCAAGCGCTTGTCCCAGTTTGCATTGGTCTCTGCCACTTGTGATCCCCATGCTCTTCACAGGTGTTAAGGCTTTCACAATTGCCCTGGGAGATGGCCAGGGTGCTTGTCCCAGCCTCACATAATGGAGAAACCTTTTGCAGTGGTTCACAGCTTAGATATCAAGCTGGCAGCAGAGTTCCAATGGGAAGGGAGAAGCACTATGCAGGCAGCAGGGCTCAAGGGTGATGGAGTCTGTAATTCCTGCTAACATGCAGGAGAATCAACCTTATCCACCCAGGGAAGGGCAGACTTTACCCCTAGTCCTGCTCCCTTTTGCTCAGGCTCCATCTTTGCACAATCTTCAGCACACTGCTCCTTCCCCAAACTTTCCCCACCTCCATCTCACTCCTACCGTAGACTCACTCCATTTCCTCTCCTTTCCTTTGGAGAATGGCTGTAATCCTTCACGTATTCCTCATCAGTGAGATTTATGAGTACAATTTCATTTTATTTTGATGGCTAATACTAGCACTAATGCTGCTGTCATGTCTACATAATTAATAATGAGACTAATAATGCCAAACCAATCTAAGAGTCACTTTATTGGTCTTCAATGTCATTAGAGCTGACATAACCAATTCAAGTTGTCGTCCATACTGAGTCACCATTATCACTTCTATTAAAAAAAACACAGATTTAGGTCTGTACTGCAGCCCAGACTCTCAATGCAGCAAGTAATCCAAGGAGAATCATCTGAGGGTGATCCCCTTCTCGTCTAATGAATATTTTAGAGAGCTGCAGCAATACAGTGAGCAGCAAGAAAGCATGGAGCAATGTAAAGCATTTTGCTGAGATGAGCTCTCAGGAATGACAGATACAACTTGCATGTCCCCTGTGACTGCAGATACTACTTTCACTCAGCCCATTCTGCATTTTCCTACCTGCCACAGCATCACGTGGCCCATCATACGCATGGATAAGGAAAAATAGTCTTTGATGCAATGTCACTGTCTGCCTTAGTGTGTAAACACCTGTAGAACTGCTGCTGTCTGCAGCAGAGAGGTTGGTGTCCACATTCTTAAAACAGGCTCTGGCTGGGCATGATAAAAGGCAACCAGCCACCATGAACCATCGAGGCCTGGTAGGCTCTTTTTTCATTATTAAGTAATCATGAGATCTCTTAATAACTTGTTTTGGAAAGATTTCTGCTTTACAGCCAGCCTAGCTGTTAATCCTGCAGATTGCACTCACACTGCTTTCAGAATTTATTCTGCAGTCAGAGCAGCAAGTTGCTCTCTACTCGTGTGAAAATCGCTGTCTCAAAGCACTAAGGATTTAAGGGGTGAAAAATCCTTCAAAGCAATTCACTAACTACTATGAGTACTGGAAACACTTTGGTTTCCATTCAGGTAATCACACACTTTTCATGTTGTATTCCTACTTAACTTCACCTTTTGCTTCTCACAAATTATCTGAAGCCGTTTGATTGGTGCCAACATTTGGGTAGAATTCAGGAAAGTTCAATATTCACAGTTTAATATTGCTAAGTTAATCCAAACTATTTACTTTCCCCTCCTTTTCCAATCATAGTTCTAGAGTTAAAGTACAGCAGCTATTAAGTGTTTTCCAAAGCAAACCACGCATGTTTCAAATTGGTCTCAATTTAGCAGTTTTATTTTTGCATTAAATGATAGGGAACAGCGTTAGCACCAGGGTCATTACGTGAGTCAGCAGCACGCAGCGGCTGCCTCTTGTCCAGCAAGTTGGAGAACAAGCTCCTGCTCTACTTCAGCCCAGGCAACCCTCCTCCTCTCCTTCATACTCCTGTTTAATCCTACCCTTGACAGCAGAGCCATCCTACACCCCACAGAAGAGGCTGCTCCCTAACCAACAGTATTATTAGGTATTTCTCAGTACTGGAGCATCCTAGGAGATTTCAAACAGGAAAGCAGCCAATACTATTGACCTTAATTTTTATAACATGTAGATGTGGCACATCTGC